ACCCTAGCACTAGGGTAACCCTGGCTGAGCGCTAGGGTTACCCTAGCGCTAGGGTAACCCTAGCTGCCTTGTAAACGCTCTGCTGGGGATAACTCGCCTACCCGGGACAACTTTTCACTTGTTTCCAGACCCTTTGAACATTGATAACAATGCGTGCAGATACCAAGCATAGGTGAGTTGTCCCGGGTGGTAGGGTAACCCTACCTGTGAAATTTTTCTTGTAAACCCGGGCTATCTTTGACCCGCCTGCTAGGGTAACCCTAGCACAAGAGTTACACTCCTTGCTTGTAAACAGGGCCTTAATTTGACGATCAAGTTTCGAGTATTTTCCGCAAAGTGAGTGCTCAAATAAACGCGCTTAATAGACGGAAAAATATTTTACCACTTAAAACCAAGGAATCGTTTTACCGTTCGTCCATAGTACCGAATTTTTATTACTGCAACCAAGTTTGGCACCATTACGGAAAAAGAAACACTGCAAAAATCGAAAAAGTCAATGAATGAGCGTTGCGATATGTCTATAATTGATAAACATGCATCTTATCAGCATCTCTTGGATAGGATAAGACTACCCTCCATGGAATCTCGAAGAATTCAAGACATGCTACTGACAATACATACCAGCATATCGAACAAAGCACCACGGGCAATTAGGAATCTTATTAACTTACGCTCATTTAAGTACAATCTCAGGCGCCAAGAATATGTTTCATCTTTACCTAAAGATAACACTACCAAATATGGACTCAAGTCATGGAGATATTTTGCAGTCAAGAAATGGAATGAACTCTCAAATGACATTAGAATAAAAGTGGGCACCAAAGAAATAGTAAACAGAATTAGATCGTTAAATTTCGGGGATTAGTAAATTTGTAACGTTAGTTTTAATAGTATTTTGATTGCGACGGTAATATTGTAATAACAGTTTTAAAAGCTTTTAATCAGTATTTAATTTGTGATTTTACCCGCTGTGATATTAGCGATGTTAGGTGTTAGGTTAGCTGTTAGGTTTTCATTAGGTATTAGGTGGAATACCTGTAAACTAGCTCTTAAGCTAAGCGTATTTCCACGTTAAATAAATTATTAGTATTAGTTAAGAATTCGATTCCTTTTTCTCAGTTTCTAAGACTTCGTCGTTTATGTAGTGATGACTCTGATTTCCACCCCAAATCAGAGTCAATGTGCCAGTTTCTCGATAAACGTGGTTACCCTAATTCTGTCGTTCAAGCGGGTTACCACCGCGTCCAACTTATTGATCGACATTCAGCACTACAAACGTCACAAAAGGAAGATTGCGACCGCATTCCATCCTCTGCGGTCTTTCCTTACACTTAAGGTAGCACAGAAAGCCGGAAAACTCTTGAACAAAAGCTCATCTTTCAAACCGGCAGTCTAAATCCCAGAGGTATCAACGAACGCTTTTCATTCCACTAATTTATTCGTGTTTTTCTCGTTGCCATGTTCCCACCAATAACGTAGCTCCTTTTTCTGCCTTTAAAAGCACACACAACCCACAATTCCCCCTATTTGCTCCGACGAAGGGCTAACGCTCGAAGCGTCAGCTTTCATAATCGTAACGGTGGCCAATTTACCATTTCAACTTTGTTGATATATTCAAATTATTTCGTTACCCCCACCGACGCAGCCCAAACAGTTTCTTTAGAAACTATCAGCCTTTAGAAAAAAGACTGTTGAATTATAAATTTTGTTTATTTACAAGCTAAGGCTAAGTTTCGCATCTTCGTGAACCTTTACCAGAGTTATATCAGGCACATCCATGCTTACATAATGAATGATAAAGAGATTATGGTGGCTTCTAGAGCTGGGTAAGGAGTTAAGGAATTTAGCGCTTTTGCTGTTAAAATATTACTCCAACGACAAAGCACAATACTGAATGCTTCTGAGCTGAATCTTATATGTTTAGTACAGTTATGTAACATATCCCTAACCAATACCATATTTTTGGGTGTTAAAATTCTGTGTGATGTAGCCGAGTCGCAGATCGAGTCTAAATTGCAAGAGTCCTTTCCAGCCACAAACCTATTCTTCCAGTGATGGTATCTTCGACACAAATACACCAAAACACACAAAAAAATAAACGTAACGTTGGTATCTTCATAATGTAAAGAAAAAATCGTCATTTTTTGCATGCAGATTGTTTATTGTTCACATTTTTCATTTGGCCTAACCTGTGTTAATATACAATATCAAGATCTTTCTACTCATATTTGCAACACGTTGTGGTATCAAAATAAATTACTGTTTTTTCTACTGATTATCACCAACATCGTTATCACGGCCGTCTTTGAGAGAGGAGACTTCAATGGCTATCTCAACTGTAGTGGACCCAGTACTTTGCATTGATAGATAGTTTTATTAATGAAACACATGGCAGCCCAAGTTATAACCTAATAATAATATGATAATATTATTATTAGGGTTGCATAAATTAGTCATGGCGTGCAGACGTGTTTTTGCAGTCGTGCTTCTATTGACTATTTTCAGCGTTTAACTTGGCCAATTTACTTCAATTACACCTGAATTCGATCGCTCTACAGTCAGACTCTTCATTGGGAAGGAAATATCTGCTCCACCTACATTCAACTGTAAGTCAAAGCCTTCGAAATGCACACCTTGCGAATTGAATTTGAAGGTCCACGCGTTGTTGCGGTTCGTCAAGCTTAGCCAATTTTGTCTGTGTATTCTTCTATCTGGCGATATTGCCGTCAATCCAGGACCTAATAACCTTCAACCTCCTGTAGGCTTCAGAGGTTTATCAGTCTGCCACTGGAACATCCAACGACTGACTGACACCAAATTGGAAGAACTATCGCTAATGCTCACCTCGAACAACAACAGTGCTGCTAAACTCGACGTCTTAATTCTCACTGAGACGTTCGGATCAAGTAAAATTCCAGACAGCTATTACATGATACCCGGCTACACATTACACAGAAAAGATCGAATCGGGAAGAAAGGTGGCGGCATAATTGCGTATGTAAATGAGAAAGTTATGGCTTCACGTCGAAGAGATTTGGAACTGGATGATCTTGAAACTCTCTGGCTTCAAATTTGTCCTCATAAATCAAAGAGACCGATTTTGATATCTGGTGTTTACCGTCCACCTTCAGCCAACAAAGATTATAATGAGAGCTTGGGTAAAAATATTGAAAATGCCCATCTCCAAAACAATGAATTGATTATTCTGGGAGACTTCAATTTGGATTATATTGATTTCAACTGTTATTCAAAACATTGTCTCGCAAAGGCACTGAACAGTCTTGGATTAACGCAGATGGTAAATGGAGTAACAAGACCTGCCTCTGATACGTGCTTAGACCATATTTATTCGAGTCATCCTGCTAGAATTAGAGAAGTATCCATAGGTAAATCTGGACTTTCCGATCACCTTCCGGTCACCATCTTGAGGTGCTACAAAACCATGGATGCACAACGTAAACAACATTCCAAAATCAAATACAGAAATATCGACAAAATCAACAAAGAGTGCTTTCTGCGAGACCTAAGAGAAGCCCCTTGGGATATCTCCTTTGTTTTTCGAGATGCCGATGACATTGTTGAATCTTGGTACAAAATCTTTAATGACATTCTTGATAATCACGCACCTTTAAAGTCCAAGAGTGTGAAGAAAATCAATCAGCCGAAATGGTTCACTAATGATCTATACAACGAAATAAATAAACGCGATAATCTTCTAAAGAGGGCCAGGAGAACACAAAATGAGCAAGATTGGTCTGCTTTTAAACTGGTTAAAAACAAAGTGACGAGGAAACTAAGAAATGCGAAGGAACAGTACTTTAAAACTCAGTTCAGTAAAAATCAAAAATGTCCAAAGAAACTTTGGTCTTTAATTAAAGACCTATCTAAAGATACAAAGAATAACGACGACTCCGTCCCTATTGCTGACGAAAACAACAACTTGATAAAGGATGACCATTCAATCGCTGAACGCTTTAACCGCTTCTTCGTTGATGTATATAAACGTCTCATAAAGGCGGCACCTGTACTTCATTATGATGCTCTTCCTGGTCCACCAGACAAATCTAACAGTCAAATTGAGAATCTTATTCCGCAAATAACTTCTAGTGAGGTTAACGATTATCTTCTAAGTATACCTACACACAAAGCCACGGGAATCGATGGGCTTGGTGCCAGAGTTCTAAGGATTGCAGCTCCTGAAATATCATGCTCCATAGCTAAAATTATAAATCACTGTATTGAAACTTGTACATTTCCCTCACAATGGAAAATAGCAAAGGTTAAACCTCTATTCAAGAATCAAGGAAACAAGCAAGATATTCAAAACTATCGTCCTATTAGTATTTTGCCTATTCTTTCTAAAGTCTTTGAAAGACACATCTTCAATGCTGTGAACACCTACTTAACAGAAAATTCACTTTTATACCGCTTCCAATCAGGGTTCCGTAAAAACCACTCCACGGATACTGCTTTGTTGTTTCTTCTGGACCAAGTCCTTCTTGACCTTGATAAGAACAATGTCAGCGGCTTTCTACTCAATCGCAAACAGTGTGTTACTGTAAATAACTCGACTTCGTCACAACTTATGCTAACCAATGGAGTTCCTCAAGGTAGCATATTAGGACCTCTACTATTTTTAATGTTCGTCAATGATCTTCCCGAAGCTGTTGGATCGGACTCAATTCATGCCTACGCGGATGACACCACATTTAAAGCCAGCGCTAATATCGATAATGCACCTTTGGAATTGGAACGACGTCTTCAAGAATACATGGATAAATTAAGTAAATGGTCTAGCGAAAATGGGATGGTCCTAAACGCCGTTAAAACCAAAGCATTACTTATCACCGGAAAGAGGCTACATTCATCATTAGTTGATGGCAATCACCTGTCAGTGACCCTTGATGGGGCCGAAATAGAACAAGTAACCTCTTATAAATTGCTTGGTGTAACACTCGATCAAGATCTTACATTTAGTGACCACATTTCTAGCCTAAAGGCCAAGCTTTCTCAGCGTATTGGTTTATTGAAAAAGATAAAGAGATACCTTCCAATAAAAGAAAGACTCTTATACTATAACGCCTTGATTAAACCCGTCCTTATGTACGGGAGCATGGTTTGGAATATCTGCGACGTTAAAGAACTCCACTGTCTCCTAAGGTTACAGAAAAGGGCTGCCCGAGTAATTCTTGGAGTGGACTCTTATTCTAGAAGTGTTGTAAACTTTAGTAAACTAGGCTGGTTGCCTTTTTTTGATGAAATCAAACTAAATAAGTGTACAATGATTTTTAAGAGCCTTAAAGGCGATGTTCCGATTTACATCAGAGACTTGCTCAAGACGAACAGTTCTGTACACAATAGGTCTACTAGACATGGCAATTTAAATTTAGTGTGTCCCAAATACCTAAGAAATAACGATGGTGGCAAGGCATTCAGTGTTGACGCAGTTAAGTTATGGAACAGCCTTCCCCATGATATCAAAAATAAGCCTAGTATAAAACTATTCAAAACAGCTGTGAAAAAGCATTTTATAAGCTCATATAAAAACCTGGACAACTTTGAAACAATATTAAGCAATAGCACATTATCTAATTTTAATTTTTTATAAATTAATTTTATCTTTCTGAATATTTTTAATATATCCTGCTATTTCTATCATAGAATTTTGTAATTATTTATATATTTATTTATTTATCAGTTTTTTGTAATGCTGTATAATCTAGTTAGAGGGCCACAGGTTTGTCAGCTTTTCAGCTGTTACGTGTCCCCCTCTATAAATAAAGTCCTTACTTACTTACTTACTAGAACCTAATAACTTTATAACCTAATAATGTAATACGATGATATATTATAAAATCCTAATTCTATTGTGGGCCAGAACGATTTAATGGTCTACGCTGTTGCCGCCATTGTCAAGTTTTTTTATCGTTTTTATCTTGTCGTCTTCGTTACAACCGTCGTGTCGTCACCGTCATCGTCGTCTTCTTCACTCTAATCTTCGTTTCGTCGCCGACGTCTTTTCGTCACCGCCGCTGTCATTCTCCTTGTAGTTATTGTAAGTATTCGCCACTAATCTATTCAAGATCTCCAGCTTTTGCAAACAGATCAGCAGCTACCTTTTCAATTCTCTTTCTGTACTCCAAATTCTTGTAGTTTCCCTTGGGTACACTATCCATGCCGTACAAGGCTCCCCACCAGGCCGCCGCGATCACTCCTGTGCTGTCACTGTCACCACTATGAAACATGGCTCGGCTACAAAGCTCTTCCCATGATGCCCCAGCACCAAGAAGAGCGTCGTAAGCAATCATAGGTGCATCGTGGCCGCTGGCTCCGCCCCACCCACTAAAACTTACTGATTCGTAAAAGGCATCCCGTTCCCTAATGTGAAACGGCTCTGGAAACACAGGGTCACCATTGCCTTGGAGAATTCCACGAAGTGAAAGATATTTTGTCCAGGCCTCAGTGAAGTACGACCAGTGTTGTTTGTTCTCTTCTACGTCACGACCAACCTCTTCAATGTACTTCATAGCCTTAGGCAGAGTAGACAACAATTCGGCACCCCACTCCCTAACAGGTTTTCCTTGAACAGCAAATGAAGTGAATAATGAAGATGCTAGAGAACCAAGGTAACCTGAAGCAAGCAAATGAAAACTTTATAACATGTCTATTAAATCAAACAACAACAAACATATGAAACATATATGTCTATTAAATATAATGAAAAAAATTTTCTGCCTTTTTTTATGAATTCCCCTTTGACAGGTTTTTGTGGTCAGCGGTCACATGGAGCATGATTGCACAAAGAGTCTTTTTTTTTTTTGAGTGACCAAAATTTTTATCACTAACAACTATTTAAGATTCAAGGTTGGCAGATGGCAACATTATTTCTATAAATCCATAAAGCTTCTCTGTCTAGAGCCCTAACTGGTTCTTGCAGACCTCATAAAGGTAACAATGATGGTGATATGTTTCAAAAGAGAAGGAAGGAAATAGGAATTAAATACCTGTAGGGTTATTGTGCGTCATCCTTCCACTCTCAATACTAATGGCAATAAGATCTTCAAGCTTGTCTGGAGAGTGATAGATCAGACCAATACACATTGAACGCATGGCTGCACCACATCCTCCCCCATTAGGATTAAATGGTATCACATAGCCTTGACTTACAAGAGGTCTCAGTTGTGCACAACTTGATGCAGTTGTGCCTCCAGGCGCTCGGCCCCTCATATCTCTCTGTTAAAAGACAGAATAGGGTAAACCCTTTATACCCTAACATCAGTAAGTATATTCTCCATATTGTTCTCTATACATTTCCAAAGGTACTGATAGGGAGAATTTGTTAAATAATCAAGAGCTTTTTAGAAGGTGATCATGACCTTTCTTCTCATGACCTTTCTTCTCATGACCTTATTGCGTGATTCAGGGGTGATATTGTAATTAACAATTATTCCACAAGCACGCATTGGATATGAGACGATAAATAGCCAACGAGGCACTTAACACTGAGTTGCCTATAATCATCTCATATCCAACAAGCATGAGTGGAGTAATTGTTTTATTAAAAAAAAACAGGG